TCTGTCCTCCACAGTCACCAGGCTCTTCTGTCCTCCAGTCTCCTAGAGTTTCCCCAAATTCATGTTCATTGTGTCAATGACACTATCTAACCATCTCTTCCTCTGCCGCCCCCTTCTTTTGCTTTCAATCTTTCCCAACATTAGGGTATCTTCCAGTGAGTCCTCTCTTCTCCTTAAGTGGCCTAAGTATTTAAACTTCAGCGTCCGTATATTCCAAAAAATAGTCAACTTCACTATCTTCCAAAGAACAGCTGAGGTTGATTTCCTTTAGGATTGACTGATTTGATCTATTTACAATCCAAGGGATTCTCAAGAATCTTCTCCAGCACCACAATTTGAAAGCATAAATTCTTCGGTGCTCAGCCTTAACCTCAACCTTATGGTCCAGTTCTCACAGCCATACATTACTACTGGGAAAACCATAGCTTTGATTGTACATTTGTTGGCAGCTTAATGTGTCTGCTTTTTAATATGCTGTCTAGGTTTGCCATAGGTTTCCTCCCAAAGAACAAGGATCTGTTGATTTTATGGCTACAGTTACTCTGCAGTGATCTTGGAACTTGAAAATGCTTCCATTTCTTCCCCTTCTATTTACAGGAAAAGATGAGACCAGATGCCATGATCTTAGTTTTTTTTAATATTGAGTTTCAAGCCAACATTGTACTCTCCTCTTTCACCTCATCAAAAAGCTCTTTAGTTCCTCGTCACTTTCTGCCATTTGCATGTTATTGTCTGCATATCTGTGGTTGATATTTCTCCCAGCAATCTTAATTCTAGTCTGTGATTCATCCACCCTAGCATTTCACATATAAATTACTCTGTGTATAAATTAAATAAGCAATGTCACAGTATATAGCCTTGTTGTGTTCCTTAACCTATTTTGAACCAATAGCTTATTCCATGTCTGATTCTAATCATTGCTCTTGACCTGCATACAGATTTCTCAGGAAACAGGTAAGATGGTCTGGTACTTCTTTGTTTAGTCTATAGCTATATAAAATCAAATTAAGAAAGTTTAAAAGCTGCTTTTTTGTTAATTTAACAACTAATTTAGTTGTACCATAAAACTTTAAAGTATTTTTCCAGTTAGATACTTTTGATTTACAAGTTGTAGATATCTGGAAATACTCATCTATTAACAATCTGTTGAATCATCTACAAATAGTATAATGCACCAACAATTTAAAATTAGTTTTAAAAAGCAATTAAGTGCTTATTTCCTCCTGCTAAATGTGGGTATGAGAACATCATTTGGTCTGGATAGAAGGTCTATCAGACAACTTTTTTTTTAGCGTATGGCATGTATTAGCCAGGGATCACCGAGGTGGCTGGCTGCCTCTGTGAAAGGAATTTTTTGGGCAGTATTATCTTTACCCGTGGGACGCCTGAATGCCGGTAGGCATTCGGGGGAGGATTTCTTATCTCTACGCGGTTTATTCACTCACGGGAATCTAGCTGCCAACCTCAGCGGTGTGCAAGCCCAGCGTCTTAGCACATGAGCCACTGCGGTTCTTCAGCCAACTATCTAGCCTTTAACAAATAACCGTAGCTCCTACAGCAACTGTTTAAAATATGGGGAATATTCCATTTGTGTTTTAAGTCCAAATATTAACCTAGTCAAATGTTCCTGCTGATTTGCACAGCACAATCATGCCTACAGAACAACATGTTGATTTCTGGAGAATATAGAGTCCATGTTCACTTTCTCCAAGTGACTTATATTTCAGAAGCTCTTGTTCCAGGAAGGCATTGGTAAAGCTTCATTATACCACCAAGGCCTTCAGCAGTTCCAAAAGTTAAAGGAGAGACTGCAGAGCTCATTCCCCATTTCAGAAAAAAAAAAAATCTTCCTATCCGTGCTATTTTTCTTTCTGGAAAGTCCCTCTCTTCAAATTCTTACAATAGTCTTACAATATCTGTCCACCATGGCTAAGGAGACAGGTGCCATAGAAAATCCTGAAAAATCTTTCTCTGACAAAGAAGCCTGCATGTAACCACGCAGTCTTCCTGCTGATCATACTTAGGCTTTTCTGCAGAAATACAAATAGTCCTAATAAGGATAGTACAGGTTGTTTGGTTCTGTTAAGAAAGCTACTTATTGGAGAGGAAAGAACGGGCGGGCTATAGATGATTTTACCTAGATGGTTTTTAAGTCATCTAAGTGGACTCTAGGGACAAGAAAAAAAGGACTGACGATAATAGCAATTAAGATGGGCATAGACAATTCTAACTTTTGAAAATAAATTTTTAATTTAAAAAAGGGAGACTTATAAACCTAAATCAGATTACACAATATTTATTACCAATGCTTCTATGCTGTTTCAATAGCACACTAGCTTACAGGAAATATATGATACAGCACATTAAAATAATGCAATATACCAATTATATTTACAGTAATAATACCATCAATATAAATTCAATGGAATCACAATACTAAGCATATCACTTATACTGCTGAACTGTTTCTGATTTGAGAAATATAATCCAGAGAATACTGAAGACTGAAAGAACAGAATGTGTCATAGGATATAATCTACCCTGCACATATGATCTCCAGGGATTAAAAAAAAAGCAAGTTTTACCACTTGGAAAAAAGCCTGCTGCCAGTCTGAGAGAAAATGCCACTAATCTGTAAATCCTTTGTTAACTCTAAAATTAAGAAATAGGTAGCATTAAAAGTAGATTAAGCACTTAAGTTAAACATGCATGACCTGCAAATATGTGTCCTTAAAATTATTTTCAACTTAAGTGTTTTGCATTTTAAGTCACCAACTAAAGCTTGGGTGGAGGGAGTAATTTGCAACTTAATGCAATTAGTTGGTCAAGTATAGCCAAGACAAGATATTCTACATGTTTTAATGTTTCTTAATAAAGGGATTAATGGAGCTGCCCTCATACAGTCATTCATCAAATCCTCTGAACACGTTGGAACATTCCTGTTGCCTCTCATTACCCTGTTTGTCATAGCAGTCACATGCAAACATCAATTATTAGACTAATATAAAAGCTATAGTAATAAAATAGCATGAGAAAAACCATTTTCTTACTGTTTCCAAGGAAAACATTTTGAAGAAATACAACTAGAAAGGATTATAGAATCCTTGTTGCTCTCTGAGCTTGGTCATTTGTTTGCAGGCATTTCATTACCCAACTAGCTAATAACATCACTACTAGTGAGTGTAAGTTTTGTTCCCTCTGTATAAGCATAGATTGCCCTGCCCTGTGGGATATGGGTTTCTCCTTAGTAGTTTATTAAGGTATTTTTTTGCTTGTTTTTTTACTTATCTTGGTCTTGGTTGCTGGAGAGGATGTGTTCTGGTCTTTTTGATTCCTTCTTAGCTTTTTAGTTATCTCTTTTAACTGGTTTGTAAATATGGTTTATTATAGATTCTCAGAAATAATACAACATACAACAGAACTTGTGACTTCACAGTTAATAATGATAAACATGTTTCTTTTATTTCCAGGCATGGAAAGCAATTTATGCAATATTTCATTAAAAGTTAACAGCATAATTTTTCTTCCTCTTGTCAATAATACATAAAAATTCAGCAGTTATTTATTTCTACTTGTGCCAATAAGACTTTTCTTATCTTCCAATCCCAATTTGGAGATGACTGAACAATTACACTGGCTGGCATTGTCTCTTGGGCTGGCAAGACTTGGTTATTTCTCCCCAAGGCCATCAGTAACAAGACAAAACCTTTGCCATAAACAGAACTGGTCTGTTCATAACCCCACCTGGGAGTACATCAACAGTTTCATTCCAGTTCCTCTGGAAGAAAGTCTTCAGGAAACCAACGCCTAGAATCCATTTGGTTCACCATACACCCACCACCCTCTTCCTTAAATTATCTTCAGCCTAACCAACTCATTCTTCCCTGTCAGGGCATCACTGCCTTTTTAAAAGTTCTGATAAATTTTCTGAGATAAGTTTGTTGTTTGTTCCTTTCTCAGTTTCTGTTATTTGCCTGAGAGTTGATGTGAAGATTATTGCATACAACCTGCCCATCAGCAGTGCACAAATTAGTAAAACCCTTTCCTTGACTTTTGTGCAAACTCAGTTTCTTCCTTGGGGTAGAATTTGGTTATTTTAGAGCTGGTATGGGGAACAGCCCTTAGTCCTCAAGCCTTGTTATCCAGGGATAGAACCCACAGAAAATTCTGCCACCTTAAGGAACTCCTGAAGGAACTTCTCACACCTGTTCGTCTTCAGGGCTTGTCCTCACTTGAAGCAAGTGGAAAGGGGGAGGGTAAGAAATGCCTCCATTCTCACTGTGAGATTTGAGAACAGGCAGACTACCCTCCTTCCTGTCCTACTCCCAGAATCACTTTCAGTGAGAAAAATAGATACAATCTTTTATCCTTTCATTTCTGGCAACCCCTCCCCCCAATAATGCCTAGGGAAAGAAGGGAATCTTGAGAAATGGTTCCTTTTCCTTTCCCGCCTCCTTTTGGATCCTTTTACACTGCCGATCTGCGAGTAGAGGCAGTGTTGTCTATAATGACTCTTAAGTAACTCTTTAAGAGGGTGGAAAAACCTCTTTAAGACTAAAATCGCAGCAAACTATCTTTTAACTGTAACAACTTATTTATGCGGTTGCATCATTCTAGAAACAAAAAGAAACCACCTGGTTTTGGGCTTCAGTTCCTAGAATGCAAAGTATATTAGAAAACCAAAACAGGTTTTTGTGTTTTAAACTCGTAGGCGGCCTCTGGAGAACCTATGATTGCCTACACAAGCAACTTCGTGGAAAATTGCCTCGCCCCGCTCAGTTGTTTCCCCGAGACACCCTACAGAAACAGGCAAAGATTGCAATCTTGTGTATAGTTACATTAGAATAAAGCATTCGCAGGAGCCACCTGGGAAGTCAAATCCGAGAAAGGAAGCGACTCAGCAGACATTCCCTGCTCTGTTTCCTTCCCCTGGTTGGCTCCGGCTTCCCCGCGCGATTCTTTCGCTTCCCTACCAGCTTTTCTGCGAACAGCCTCCGCCCCCTTTTTCTCGCCTCATAAACCGCCCCTGAAGTAAGGGCGGCTTCTGCCGGGTCCCCAAAGGCTCGGTTGACACTTTCCGCCGGAGCTATTACGAGAAGACTTTCGTTGGATTTTGTGGAAAGTTGCTTCCTGGGCTTTGAAAGGCGCGACGCCGATGAAACTGATCGATAGTAGCGGACCAGCGGCCAACAATGCTTTCACCACCAGCGTTGCCACGGCCTGCGCTCTTGCCCCGGAGATGAAGTATATCTTGGGTATAGACGTGGGCAGCACGGTGATACGGTGCCATGTGTACGACAAGGCGGCGGTCCTCAAAGGATTTAGTAGCAAACAGGTGAGAATTGTGCGGGCCTCGGGGAAGAAGGCCCGACCTAACGAGGTTCTGTTAACTCCATTTTACACACCGAGTTCTTCGGGGATTGTTTTATGCTATTGCCTAATATTACAACTCGAAGTGCAACGCGGCCCCCTAATTCAAAAATTGTGGGCGCACGAGATATGAGCCATCCAGACATGTTAAATCAAAGAGTGTGTGCTCAGTTCGTGTGTTCATTAAATAATTCGGCTCAACTCGCTACCAGAATTGATTCAGTAAATCATGGTTGTGCCAACTTCATCGTTTACTTAAAAACAAACTCAGACTCGTATTCCTAAATGGTAGGAAGAGCTGAATTTAAGAACTGCTTAAATTCAGTGGGACTTGCTGCCTTTCTATAAGTTATATACAATTAAAATTAAAAATTTTCCTTGATGTATATTTTATAAACATTTGCCTCCTGTAATCCAAGCTGGTTTCCTCCCAGTCTTTTTACTACTGGGCAGTATGTTTGTTTCCACTGTCTGGTGAATAAGGAAAGAATTGGGGGTTTTGTTTCTGCCCTAATCCCTGATTTAGTGATCACATTTGGCTTTGTAGGTTTTCTGTAATGTACACGGCAACATCTGTCGTCATTGGAATGTACAACTCGCTTGTTTTTTGTTCTTATTAAGTATAAGTAAATAAAAACAAGATTCACATTGAATGGTTATATAGTTATATGGTTGTAATGGTTATATAGAAATTGGACTTTGATTTAGTTTGCTATGTGGCACTGACTGAACTTTGTATGCAGCAGGAGTTTGAATAACAGAATCCATGATAAACACATGGACTGCACAATATTATGCTGACCTATTTACTACAGCATTTACAGATATCCTATTCTATGTACTGCTTAAATATCATTTTAAAATTCCAGTATTTAACCTGCACTTAATAATCACACCATAGGAATTGTTTTATTCAGTCATAAATAGATACTATTCATGTTTCTTTTGAAAAGTTTTCAAAGTTGATAAATAATATAAAAAAGTAGGTGTTAGTACTTTTGAAAGCAATAACATTTCCAATTCAAATCAAAACCATCTGGGTAACAACCTTGGACCCAGTCTCTTGTACTCACTCTCAGCACAACTCTTCTCACAGGGTTGTTGTGGAGAAAATAAGAGGAAAGAGTATTAAATGCATTCATTGCCTTGAGTTGCTTATAAAAATAATAAAGGTAGGATACAAATAAATCTTTTTTGAAAGTGCAATGATAATGCACAGATTCCCATGAAATGCTGATAGGAAGAATGGCAAAATGCAGTCTTGACTATGCTTTCAATGTCTGGATATAAAGCTTATTGGAAAAAAAATAACCATATCAAGCTGGAAGGAAGTGTTAAGTGGCATATCACAAAGATGAATTCTAGTTACTCTCTTTGTGCTATTCAACATATTTTTAAATGAATTGGATAACATGCTAAAAATATTGTGATGAAATTTGCAGACAGTATAAAGCTGAAGGATAATGGTGCAAAGTATGACAATTCTGGAAGATTTTATAAGCTGAAATAATAGGCAGAAACCAGGAAGAAATGCCAAGCAAAATGGGTTTTTCTTAGATTGAGTAAGAAAAGATATAGGATGGAGGGGGATCATGTTGGGTAGTGCTAAATGCAAAAAGGATCTGGATATTGTGGTAAATCACAAACTGAACATGAGTCAGGAATGTGATGCAATGGTGAAAAGGCAAATGCAATTCTAGGCTACTTCAACAGATGTGTAGGCTACTTCAACGGATGTGTAATGTAAAAGGCTACAATTTAAAAATGGCATTGACAAACTGATCAGAGTTAAGCAACAGGGTTATTTTGTTTGTTGTACTTTCCATAAACTGCCAAGAGTCCCTTAAGATTGTAGCTGGTATTTAAATATAGTCCTTAGGTTATAATGTCATTTGGGACCACTAAGTGACCCAGTCACACAATATTGTACTTTATGACTGGCAATATCATGTGACCGTGTCACTTAGCAACGGTAGTCCCGGTTGCCATTATTAAATGAGGACTTTACATAATAGCTTCCTGGGTGTTTATTGACTTTGCTTTGGGGAAACCAATAAGGAATTGGAAACTGATCCCGTGAGCATAGCTTGCTGTGACGTAATTGCAAGCCAAACACCCAGATCAACATCATTTGACAGCGGGGAGGTTGAAAGAGCTGAAACTCTGAGGACCAGTTGTATGTCCTCCTCATTTAATGCTGTCACAAATTTCAAACAGTTGCTAAATGAGTTGTAACCTGAGGACCACCTGTAAAATCAAACCATGATTATAAGAGGCTTGGAAAGGAAAATTTTGTAAGTATGTTTAGTCTGGTGAAGACTATAGGTAGTAATAATAGCTGTCATCCAGTATCAGAAAGGCTTTTATATGGAAACTAAGACAGAACTGATCCAGAAAACAAGTCAAGAAAATACGTTTTAATTACAAGGAAGTACATTTTGGCACTAGGTATATATTTCTAATGATAAGAGTTATTCAGTGAGAACAGTTTATCTTTGTATAAGTGAGATTTGTCTATCACTGTATAAGTGAGATTTGTCTATCACTGTTGGAAATCCTGTTTGGATTGGAATGACATATATGCCCCAATAAATAAATATACTAAAAGTCTTTGTCAGCCCCACTGAGTAGACCAGACCAGGAAATGAATGGCACAAGAAGACAAGCTATTTTTGTTCAGATTGGCTAAAATAAAAGAATCTTGCAAGTCTGATTGTTTCCTTTCTCTTTTCTTTATACTCTGTGAATCAGCTAGGAATCTACCTGAGCCACTTCAAAATATTAACTTATTTCTCTGGGCTTAAAATGTTGTTACTTCATTTCTACTACTCAACTATTTTGCTTAAGTAGTAGTTATTGCATATGGAATTCAAGGACATTTTCCCTACTCTCCATTGTGTTTAAATAGAGTGAAATGACCATCTTCTGCTCTGGCGCCCACTCTTTGGAATATTCTCCCATCACAGTTGAGATCCCCTCATACCCCTGGCCTTCTGGAAGAGCCCCAAAAATTAGTCAGTAGGGACTTGTTATATGTGACTGATAGGGTAGAGAAGATTCTCACCTCCAGGCTATCCGTCATCTTGGTTCATAACTTTTAACCTTTTAATTTTAATTGTTTTTTAAATTGTTTTAGCACCTTTAAACTTTTTATTATATTGTAAGCTGCCTAGAGGCACTGTATTAATGAGATAGGCCACATAGAAATTTAATATTTAATATTTTTTGTAGGGATGGTGCAGTAGAGGATTCTTGCCTTGGGTTCTGAACTGAACTACTATAAATCTTCATTATCTCTTCCAACTATTAATTCAATGATTCTGTGAAATATTTTTAAAAATATAGTAGGTATGCTGCTTGTTAATTATGTATTTCCCAAAGAAGCATCAAAGTTACAAACTACGTTTTTCAGTTATGACTCTGAGAAACCCAGACTAAGTACAGATAATCCTTAACTTACAACAGTTCATTTAGTGACCATTCAAAGTTACAACAGTACTGAAAAAAGTGACTTATGACTGTTTTTCATACTTATAACTATTGCAGCATCCCCATTGTCAATGATCAAAATTCAGATGGTTGGCAATTGTCTCATGCTTATGATGGTTGCATTGTCCTTGGGTCATGTGATCACCTTTGACAACCATATGAGAAGCAAAGTCAATGGAGGAGCCATATTCCCTTAACAACAGCATTACTAATTTAACAACTGCAGTCATTCACATAACAGCTGTGGCAAGAATGGTCATAAAATGGGGCATCATTTACTTAACAAACGTTTCACTTAGCAGCAAATGCTGAACTCAATTGTGTTGTAAGTCAATGACTACCTGTAATTATAGTTTAGCTTTCTCTCAATCTTGGTCATTCTTGGTGCGTTCAAATTCATGTTATGACGTGCATAAGTTGTCCTTACCATGAAAAGCTAATTCAGATAGTCCTTAGCTATAAATTTCTGATCTAATTAACCCTGCCAATTTAGTAACTTAAATTCCCAAGTACAGTAACAATAAATGCATTTATTGGCATTTTGTATGTACTGTGTGACCAGTGCATGTCGGAAATCCCCAGTGAATGATATAGAAGGTATACTTGTGTAACTCCCTGAACTACATCTTGCTGACCATGTTTTCCTTTTAATATGTTGTGGAACCAACCCATATGTACCCGATTGCGTCATGGGAATAAAGAAAACTGGGCAAGTTAACAATAGGTAAACATTCTCAAAAGCCAGTGAATTAAGTATAACATTTCAGCTTAAAGAGTTACACTATTAGTGTTTCTCTTTCCCACATATGATCAAATGTATGTATTTTAGAGTTATACCCTCATTTTCCTATATGAGTTCAAGATTGCATAGCATTCCTTCCTCCAATTTTTCCCCATGACAAACACATTGTGAAGACATAGGTTGGGATCAGAGATTATGGTTGATCTAAAGTGGCTATGGGTGGCTTTGAACCTTGGCCTCCCATTTCTACTGTATGGGAATAACTTAAGTACCCTTCATACTCTACTTTAAATACTATAAATCTACTTGGCTCCTAAATTGTCATTTATTTAAGTTAGTAAGTTCCTACTTTATCTCATTTGGTATGAATGAGGAAAGAATTGTTAGTAATTTTTGGTAGCTTTTCTATGCAGTTGATTATTACTAAAACAAGAGTATGCAATCACAGTGTGGAATGTATTTCATTTTTTCTCTCCTTAAATAGGTAAATGAGAGTTGGCTGCAATTGTACACAAAGTATATTATTTCAGTACACTATATGGCAACTTGCTGACCATAAACAATCCTCTCAAAAGAAGGTGGGAATGGTATACAATACAGTTTTATTTTAATAGAACTTAAGGTCTTGTTTGGACTCAAATTTAGATTTTTAAGGAGGCAAGATTAATTGCCATTCCCTGAATGCAGAACTGAAGAGACATTTTACTTTATTTAGCTAGCCATCTCAAATATGACTCGGGCCAACTTGCAGATGATTAAAATGATGTAAAAACAATACAACAATTACTAAAAATAAAAATAATTAATACAAGAGCATATAAAATTGCTTAAATTCATAAAATAATTCCTAAAATTCCTGCAATATTATTTCTCTAAGGTGACATTGAATAGTTTCTTCTTAATTTTATAGCATTTCAATACATTCATATAATCAGGCCCTGATGGGTGCATTTATTCTTAATAAGGTAAAGGTACAGGTTTCCCCTGCCCAGTCGTGTCCAACTCTGTATTATCTCCAAAGTCATCTGTAGTTGTGGTATCACAAATACTATTGCTACATTGCTAATGCTTTGTGTCTCTTGATGTCTTTGTGAAGGCAATGCTTAAACTGGTTTCTAGAGTTGATAATAGATGTATAAATAGTATGAGTATTTTGAATATATTTTCTGTGAACAAAATCTACTGAAACTTGAATCAAATTCAGATTTTAAAGAGGCATGTTTAATTAATAATTTAATTTCCATATCTTCGTTCCCTGATGCATAACTAAAGAGATGCATGTTGAAGACTGGAAATACAGGGAGGATTCCTTAAGTACTTCTATCATAATATTACCTTTTATAATTGGATCATACAGACTAGTTATTTTATTAAATAATTATACAGTATTTGAATTGCAGTTAGTAATTAAACATGATATTTCATCTATGAGTTGCAGTAGTGAGTATACAAAAATAATATTTAATATAAGAAACAGAAAAAGTTATGCAAACATCTTAAATATATTTAATTTTGTGTAATACTTACTGCTTTATAATTCTTCTTATACTACTATGATGGGATTTGGCACTTTGCTACCAGTTTCTTTGGAGACAAAGGATTGATTTGATCTTGAAGGTTCATTAGTAGCATTTATTTTCTGATGATCAGTCCTTAAGAATTAATATTTATTTGCATTACTTACTTTTGTTTTTTATATTTGAAACTAGACTGTTTTTCAAATTCAAAATTCATTTAATAGTTTGTGGATTTATGGTGACTTTTAATATCAAAGAAATGAGAATATCAAAGAAATGAGAGCACGTTGTATTCTCATAAGCAACAGTCTGCTTTAATGGAAAATGTGGCCATATGCTGAAGATTCCAACAATATATTTTATAGTATATGTACATACTATACATTGATTTTTAAATGGCTGGTCTGTACTTATGTTTGCCTATTTTTAAAAGAGAGAACGCGAGTTATAAGTGTGTAAGAAATAAGCTAAACAGCTTTAATTCTTTTAATATGTGAAGTTGCTTTTTAGTAATCTTCATCAAGATCATTAACATCTATGATCTTGGTAAACCTGTATTTCCCTTAATAGATAGAGGCTCTTCATCCTCAGCCCGGTTGGGTTGAATTAGACCCTGAAAGCCTGTGGACCCAGTTCACTGATGTGATTAAAGAAGCAGTTCAAGGTAATCATGCAACCGTATTAATAACTTAATACTTCCATATTGAATTTATTTTAAGTTCAGGTTCAAGCTAAAAGATGAGACAGGTTCAAACTCAAAGGTTCAAGTTCAGGTTCAAACTCAAAGATGGGTCAGATTCAAACTCAAAAATGGCATTAAAATAAACTAAATTTGATCCTTTATTTGCTTTAATTTAATGGACAATTTCTTGTGAAACTAAAGCTATAAACCTCTAACCCATTAGAAAATACTGCCTCCTCCTTAGGAAAGCTCTGTATTGCCAAAACTCCTACCCACTAATTTTCTAGGTGCACATTCTATCACAATACCTACATTAAAGGCCTTCACAAAAGAGCTCACAACATATGGGAGCTACTTTACTTTGGAAAGCCTATTTTCCACTCACATCACCTTTTAGAAACTAAGTTAACAATTGTGATTACTAATTAAGTTTATTTTAATGAAACAACTTATATTTATTGAAACATTTATGCGTGTGGATTTATTATAAAACTTAATGAACACCACCTTAATTATTCAGGTATTCTTGTTTAAATTAAGGGCATCAAAACCTGGCTCTTTACCTAGACCCTGAGATAGAGTGGTACGGCTTGCAAACAGTTGGTTGATGGAGGCACAGTTTTTTTTGTATGTTTTGTAGTTTGATTTCTATGACTCACCCAAATGGATAACCATACAGATCTTTTAAAATAAATAAATATATCTTTTAGTTGCAGGACTTAAAATGAATCAAATCTCTGCTCTTGGACTTTCAACACAACGTGCAACTTTTATTACATGGAACAAGTATGTATAAAGATTATAACTGATACCTCATTCTCTGCTTGTTGATATGTATGGATGCCTTCCAAAATATACAAAGTTCACTTGTTAGAGTAATGTTTGATTACATTATTTACTAATACCCAGATAATAACAAAATATATTTAACTTTTGTTTTAAACCTATATGTGTATCATTATAAATTGTATTTTTCAACTAAGTTCAGGAGGGGATGGTGCCGCAGCACTTTAAGGAGCTGTGGTCCACCCTCTTCTTAAGAAACCATCGCTGGACTCCACCTGGTTGGATAAATTTCAACCTGTCTCCAATCTTCCCTTTTTGGGGAAGGTTGTTAAGAAGGTGGTCATGCAGCAGCTCCAGAGGTTTCTGGATGAAACGGATTATCTTGACCCCTACCAGTCAGGATTCAGGCCTGGATTTGGGACAGAAACGGCATTGGTCGCATTTTTGGATGATCTTTGGCAGGAGCAGGATTGGGGTAGTGCATCCATCCTTGCTCTACTTGACCTCTCAGCAGCTTTTGATACCATTGACCATGGGATTCTCCTGTGGCGGCTTCGGCGGATTGGAATGGGAGGCCTTGTGTTGTCTTGGTTCACTTTCTTCCTCTGCGGCCACTCTAAATCAGTGTTGATAGGAGGGGAGAGATCCAGCCCTCACCCACTGCTTTACAGGGTTCCGCAGGGCTCCTCTTCTTTCTCTGTTCCTGTTCAACATTTATATGAAGCCACTGGGTGAGATCATCCATCACCATGGACTGAGGTATCACCAATATGCTGGTGATACTCAGTTATATGTCTCAGCCCATGGTGAGTTAAGTTTTGATATGTCCTCCCTCTCGCAGTGCCTAGAGGCTGTTAGGGGCTGGATGGGGAGCAACAGGTTGAAACTAAACCCTTGCAAGACCTAGTGGCTCTAGGTTTGGGGTTCGTTGGCTCAGGGAGAATTGCTACCTTTGGTCTTGGATGGGGTGGCCCTACCCCAAATAGACCCTGTGCGTAATCTAGGGGGTTTCTTGGACTCACGACTCCTGCTCAAAGAGCAGGTGGCTGTTGTGGCCAGGAGAGCCTTTGCGCAACTGCGGGTTGTGTGCCAGTTACACCCCTTGCTGGATCATCGGTCCCTACTCACAGTCACTCATGTCCTAGTCACTTCCCATCTTGATTATTGCAATGTGCTCTACATTGCCCTTGAAGAGCATCCAGAAGCTCCAGTTGGTGCAAAATGCAGCAGCCCACATGGTTTTGTGCAGACCCCGGTATGCACATGTGTCACCTCTCCTGCAGGAGCTGCAGGATTTGCTTCTGGGTACAATTCAAGGTGCTGGTTGTCACCTTTAAAGACCTTCATGGCTTGGGACCGAGTTATCTGAGGGAACGTCTCTTGCCAGTAACATCTACCCGACCCATTAGAGCAGGGAGGCAGGGAATGTTGCAGGTTCCATCCCTCAGGGAGATACACCTAGTGGGACCCAAAAGAAGGGCTTTCTCCGTGGTGGCTCCCTCTCTGGAATATCATTCCCCCAGAGATTAGAATGGCCCCCACTCTAGCACTCTTTCAGAAGGCACTGAAGACCTCGTTTTGCCAGCGGGGCTGAGGAACCCAGAGCGGGTTGGAGCCCATCAAATGGCTAGTGTGATCTGCTGTCATTGGGGTGGGAGTTGGGTGATCTTTTTGTGCTCCAGATTTTGTTCTATTGTACTTTATTAATTTATTTGGTTCTTTTTCTTTTTATTGTTTTTTATTTTTATTTTTTGTTTTAAATATGGTTTTACATTGTGTAAGCTGCCTTGAGTCAGCATGGGCGAATAAGTGGCAATATAAATTAAATAATAAATAAATAAATAAAATAAACACCTGTAATAAATAATTTTCTGCAGGGTAGGTGCTACTTAAATTGCTTATGTATGGATGTAGAACATACTCCTATACAGCTGAAAAGCTTTGCTAATTCTTTAATTAGTAGTTTTAAAATGCCACTTTAAAAGTTAGTCCACAACTTTTACTTAAGAAAATATTATGAACAATAGTATCTGAATTCTATATTTACCATTAATATATATAGAATATAAAACATGAAATAACAAGGTTGGAAGGAACATTGGAGTCTTCTCGTTTGAAAATACAATCAAAATTGTTGTTTAAGTATTTAGTTGCTTCTCACCCTTTGTAATCTAATGAACATTTTGCTAGGGCTGCCAGGCAACAACTGTTTTTTTGAGTTCTTTAAGTTCAAGTTTGTATTATCAGTGATAATATCTGGTTACCATGTTATTGGGCTTTTCTTCAGTTGCCTTATTTTTTTTTTCAAACATCAGGGACTTTTCAACTGACTCTTGCCTTTGCATCATCTGTCCCAAGTACTTAAACTTTCCTTTTATAATAGTGTTTCCAATGGGCAGGCTGGTTTTATTTATCTATGATTGAATGATTTGTTCAGTGGACAACAGTCCATGGTATTCTCAAAAGCTTTCACTGGCATTCGTATTCAAAGGCATCAATTTGTCCTTTAGCCTTTCTGATATTCCAATTTTCACAGCCATGGTTTTACAAATGGAGAAATGTAATCTCTATCTGTCTGTAGAGATTCTCAGTCATCCAGGTCATGGTTGTCCCAAAGGTGCTTTCACTTCTCATCCAAGAAGCTCCTGTCAGAGCTGAAGAAGCTTTTTGGATGAGAAGCGAAAATTCTTCAAAGAAGAAACAAGAAATGCCAGTTGTTTCCTGAAAAAGCACCTTTGGGGACAGTCTCTGTGATATCTCTGTACTTTAAAAGGTATAATTTTTGGTTAAGATCTCTGATACAAGTAGGAGACATGTATTGAGGAATGGGGGCAGGCAGTGACCAAAAATTTAATATAATTTCTGCTAAAGGTAATCCTGTTAATTAAACCAACGGTCACCAGAAAATTTTGGTGGGCCGCAGAGAAATCTCACCCCCAGAGTACCCCCCCAAAGCAATTAATCCAGGCTGTGCAGAAACACAAGGCTGCACCGCCCACATGGCCCGTGGGAACCCTCCCCGCCCACTCACTCCTTATCTGGCAAACTTGTCTGCTAAATCGTGAGCTTAATCTTAGAAAAACGTGAAAGGACAGAAAACAGACAATTTGTGCAAGGAAGCCTACTAGTACCCTGAACTGAAGCTGTTCTCCAAGGAATAAACTAAAGTTTCACCAAGCCAACATACAGGATTGATCAACATTTATTGGAAAGGTTTAGTTGCAGTTATTGCTGCCCAAGAGAAGTAATTACTGAAAGCCACATATAAATACAGACTTTTGATCATTTTCCTCAGCGTACAAATGAACAGTAGTGCTTTGGACTTATCTGAGTTTTTTAAATCTAGTTTTAGAAGTTGTGTGGAGAATATATCACATTTTAGATAATATGCATGCAGAAATATTAAATTCAAAAGGGTTTACCAACTTTTAAGGACCATTGTATATCTAAAAAGCAAATTTCAAAGTATAATTTTTTAATCAGTTATTGAAATAACTACAGAGAATGTGTCAAAAGCAAAACTGCTCTTAAACTCTAAGTCAAGAAGACTTAAAACATAAACCAAATAACTTATGATACATTGATTATTAGATTGTATCTCTTCACATAACAAATTGGAGATACCATGCTTGAAAGTAAAAAGAAACCTGTGTGTAAAGAAAAGCGATATTAATTTTAACACAAATTTGTACCTAACTCAAAGTACAGGTAAGGCCTTTGTTGCAATTAGATATTTCATAAGTAGGTCTTTATGTTCATTGCAGTAAATTAGTTTGAAAATTAAGATAACCAACCCCCGGTTAATGACCCCACTTGTTTAGCGACTGTTTGATGTTACGATGGTGCTGAACAGGTCCCCAAAGTTCTGACTATCCCAACATGCTTTAGATCACATGATTGAAATCTGGACACTTGGTGATTAGCTTGTACTTATGATGGATGCAGTGTCCCATGTGATTGCCATTTGTGACCTTACCTGGCAATTTCACATATGCAAAGTCAATGGGGAAACTGCAGAGAATCTCATAAGTTGTCTTTGCCACCCAGCAGTAGTCACTGTCCGTTTATGGGATACCTGTGTACCTTTCCTCCACCTACTGCTGCTACCCCTGCCTCCTCCATGCTCACATGATGCCCCACCGGCCACCTGCGCCTTCCCCACTCAATAGATCACTGTCATAATAGAGCTGAAATCAATTCGAAAACATCAGCCTTAATGTCATTGTCCCTATCTACAGGACATGAATTTATCAGAATTAAGCTTAGGCTGTTTATTACTTTTTCCTATTCTTTGTATCTTAACTAGGGCAACTTAATACCTTAACTAAAGAATTCAAAACAATCAAGAACTATTTCTATATAAGAACATTTTAGTAGAATAACTGGTTTTGCAATGGTTTTTATATTCTTTTCTCCCTATTCAAAATGTTGAAACGACCAATAGTACTTTGCAGAAAAAATTGAAAGAGATTGTTTTCTACCCCGCCCTACTTCTCATCTAACAGTTTATTGTTGTAATGCTTCCTAGGATGTATAGTATTTCTTTAATTTGTTCACATATGGAAGAATTCTGACTGAAGAGTTGAGATAATTATTGAACTAATTTTATGAAATGTATAAAACCGTCCACAGAACAAACTAGACTCATAACTGAAGAATTCAGGAAAGAAATCTCAATATTCATATTATTCATAGAAATATATTTCTGCAACTTGCATAACTACATGCCCTGTTAATTATACCTTTTGTCATTTTTTAATGTCATCAGAAAGTATTTTATGTAAAGACGGTAATTATGATATACGGATTCCCAATTATTGGACAGAATTCACATTAAGCTGTGTGTTTTCTGCTCTCTAAGCTGTTAATATATTAACTAGTTTAATGGAATCGATAGGAATATTTTGGGCAGGCCAGACAGATTGATAACTCTAATTATGCGCTGTTGATGTAAGACTAATATTCAACTACATTGAAAAAGAACAAGTTGAAAGAAACTGAAAAAGCCAGATTGTTGTTAATATACAATAGTACTAAATTTTATCAATAGGCAATACCAAACAATGCAGGAAGAAGAAAAGAGGTTGAAATAGTAATAGCTTATCATCCCAGGTTGAAAACTTTACAAGGATTATGGCTACAGCTATGAATTAAGAAGTCTTAATTCTAGGCTGAAAAGGTTTTAATTTATTAAGAAGCCTCTAATTCTAGGCTGATGATATTATGATACAAATCCAGTTTTGCATACAGACATCCACATGGTTTAATTCAGGGGTCGCCAACCTTTTGGACTTCAGGGACCACCAAACTCATAATTTTAAATCCCAGGGACCACTAACCAGTTCTGTGGGCATGGCCTAATTTGTGGCTTGGTCATGTGACTGGCTGTGCATGGCTTGTATGTAAATATAAATATTTATATAAATATTGAATTTTGTATTAAAAAAGAGCAACTTTTACCCAAAATCAGGCAAAGCAGGCAGGCAGATTGAGTTCACAGAAAAATTCAGTGATCTATCTATCTGCCATCGGCTAGCTTAATCTGTCACATAAAATTTGCTTGCTGTGAGTCTGCACTGAATAATAGAACCTTCAGTCCTAAGGGAGGTTCAGCTGTGCTTAAAAAAAAGCAGAGCCAAAGATCTAAAGACTAGCGAGAAAGCAAGAAATCCAGCCATTTCCTGCTTCCTAGCTAATCTGAATCTCCCGTCACAGCAGAACAGATGATGGTTGGAAAAATAGCAATTTAGCAGGCAAGTTTGCTGGGTAAGGAATGAGTGGGCGGGGAGGGTTCCTGTGGGCCATGTGGGTGGTGCAGCCTTGTGTTTCTGCGCAACCTGGATTAATTGCTTTGGGGGCGTTCTCTGGGGGTGAGATTTCTCTGCGGCCCACCAAAATTTTCTTGCAGCCCACGGGTTGGCGACCACTGGACTATAACAGATTGGGTAGAGGCAAAAGAGTTGAAACAAAGTCCTGGGAAGAAGCCAATGGAACGATGAATCTGGAGAACAGAAGACTGAAAGTAGAGATGGTATCAGTATTCAGTTACATTGAGATGATTGTTAGAAACTGTTTTCTGTTGCCACAGAAATGAGGACAAGAAATGATTGGTACAAGTTAGATGTCTATGGAAATTCTCAGTCATCCAAGTCATGGTTGTCCCAAGGGGGCTTTTTCAAAAGGCAACTGGACTTTCTGGTTTTCCTTCCCATTAGGACAAGATTCAGCAGTCCATAAGCATTTAAAAGACAAAGGCCACTCTTTAGAAGACAGAAAAGTCCATATTTTGGACAGAGGACTGCTTGTTTGAAAGAGGGGTCAAAAAGGCCATCTATGTCAAAATTGATCAGCCCTCTCTGAAGGGGGGGTGGGGGGGGATACAACATCATCTATTTCCAGTCTACAACACAGTCCTTTAAATGGTTCCAAGAAGGCTCCACACCCATTTAGTGTTAAAATCTCTTGGCCAAATGGTTTTTGCCCATTATGCACATAATTAATTGTAATGTAATGATTACAGTGAGGGGATGTTAACTGGCAGAGGTAATTAACAGCTAGCAATCAATAGCCACAACCTTGCCCCATTTGACAGGGGGATGGGGGAAAAATACAAGACAGTCTAAAGAAGTAAATATAATCAGTTGGTGTGTGAAGCTCGCTGGTCAATGAAAATCTTTTGATGGCCAAAAATGAATGAGGTCCAAAGTTGCAAGTATGTACATTTCACTTAAAAAGGTTTCCTGATTGTAAGATCTTTATAAACACAAATGATTAATTCAGAGCAGTTTTTAAGAAGAGCTAGACAACTACCTTTTAAGCATGGTTTATTTGTTTATGGACTTTTTTCATATTAGAATAGAATAGAATAACGGAAGGGACCTTGGAGGTCTTCTAGTCCAACCCCCTGCTTAGGCAGGAAACCCTACACCATTTCAGACAAATGGTTATCCAACATCTTTTTAAAAACTTCCAGTGTTGGAGCATTCACAACTTCTGGAGGCAAGTTGTTCCACTTATTGCTCTAACTTTCAGGAAATTTCTCCTTAGTTCTAAGTTGCTTCTCTCCTTGATTAGTTTTCACCCATTGCTTCTTATCCTACCCTCAGGTGCTTTGGAGAATAGCTTGACTCCCTCTTCTTTGTGACAGCCCCTGAGATATTGGAACACTGCTATCTGTAGAAGGTTCAACTAGTAGATAATCTTTGTGATCCCATCTATTTGTATATTTCTTTGATTCTGTGTCGCTACATTTTTTAATCCTTAATTTGTTTAGAGGTAATATCTAAACACTGTTACTGAACCATAAGATAACATTAAGGAAGCAATTGGAAAGTCAATTATTCCTTTTTTGCTCTTCCAGAAAGACAGGGAAACCTTTTCATAATTTCATAAGTTGGCAAGATGTGAGAGCTGCTAACCTTGTTAAATCCTGGAACAGATCTTTTTTAATGAAGGTAAGATATTTTTTTGTATTGAAAGTAAGTTGGATGAAGGAAGAAAGAAATTTAGCATGTGTGTGAATATATATGCTCTTACTGTAGAGAAGACTGGTATTTGATTGTTACTTCTTTTCTGTATTTTTATAAAAGAAACAATGTCATAGGTGAGGATATTTGAATTTTTCTTTCAATTCTCCTTTTCTAAATGGCAAATAGGTCCTCTCTTCCAAAGCTGCATTTTGTAAACTACATGATTAGGAGAGGGAATTAGCATATTATATAGCTTAGTTTTTATTATTAGATTTAGAACTAAGCCGATTTGGTAAAATAAGCTTAGTCACAAATTGCCTGAATGAAAATGTTGGTACAGGTAGTCTTCGACTTAACAACTGTTCATTTAATGATTGATTGAAGTTACAATGGCACTAAAAAGAGGGGGATTTAGGACTGTTGCAGCATCCTCATGGTCATTTGATCAAAATTCAGACACTTGGCAACTGACATGTATTTATGACTGTTGCAGTGTCCATGGGTCATGTATGATTGATTATCTTTGGCAACCATCTGACAAGCAAAGTCAATGGAGAAGCCATATTCCCTTATCAACAGTGCTACTAATTTAACAACTGCAGAGATTCATTTAACAACTGTGGTATGAAAAGTCATAAAATGAGACAAAGCTTATTTAACAACTGTCTTGCTTAGCAATGGAAATTTTGGTCTCAATTGTGGTTGTAGAGTCAACGGCTGCCTGTATTAGTGAGGGTGTGCAGATGAATTTCGACTTCTGCAGTAAAATGGATCTGGTGCTGTTTTTTAAAGACTCCAGATTGGTTTTGTGTGTGCAGCAGAATGAAAAGTTTGTTTTAATACTGAAATAAAGTTATATTTTTTATTTAAAAGTGGCATTTATTAAAATGTTTAAAAAATTACCTGAACATGAAATACCAGCATATCTGGCAAATTCTTGGGGTACAGCCTTTTTCTGCTCTGTTGATTTCTGTACGTGGCAAGTTTATAATATGAGCAGTATTCAAAATGGATTTCCTTCTTAGCAGTCATAAGTGAAATAGATTCTTGTGTTTCAGTGTTATCTCTTGACCCCTGCATAGTCAGACTGTGATCTAGTCCTACTCATCAGAAAAATGTCCAACTTGCTTCTTGGTGGAATTCTGAACAGCAAAACTTATTTTGGACTGGCAAAATAAGTTTACATACAGGTCCAGATAAGCACCACTTCACCAAACAGTTGAGTAGTTCTGTATTCATAGAAACTGGCTGCGTTCATAGAAAAAAGCCTTATTTACTTATCCACGATTTATTGAAAAAAAGAAACACAAATGGCTGGGTTCAAACAAAGTATAGTTTACAAATCACATTGTCTGAACTCATATAAAACAAGAAATAAGCAACAAACTAAGGCATAAATAAATTACTTTTGGCTTTGTATTTGAACACAGTGCACTAAGCTATAGGCATATGTTAATAAGAATATCAAGAATGTATAAAATGTGCAGCTGATTTTGAGCAATCAGCATCTAAATCAAAACATACATATTTACTTTGAATGGTGAGATCCAAATGTTGAAGAAAATAGGGTTGTTTTGTTCCAATTATATAAAGAATACACAGGAAAAAAAATCTTTGACATTGAGGAGTTCCCTTGGACAAGGCATTGGAAGGAGGGAAAATTCTGGGATGGGCATGCTGGTGGGACATGCCAATAAAACCTTCTTACTGCTGAGACAACTGGTGTAAGGGGAAGATACCATCCAGTATATATCAATGGCAGCTGAGGGAAGGTTGCATAGAAATGGTCCAGAAGATTGGGAGCAGGCAGGCCAGTCAGAGATGGTGTTTTGAACTGCTGAGACCACTGTAGTAGGGAGCCAGGTACATGGGCCAATACTATAGAATGAGGGAATGGAAAATACTGGGAAGATGGGGAACTGGATACGTCAGTGCAAAGTTCAGGTAAGGGATCCTCTGGATTTTTTTTTTTGTTGAAATGCAGAACAATCAAAAAACAATATTGTCTGTTAGGAAGAAGGCGGAGCCTCCTCACTGACGGACCATAGATCACAACTCTGCGGCTATGGTCTGTGCTTTTTCGTTGGAGAGCCCCGATCATTACGATTAGGGGCTGAAGCTGCCTTGGAGGGGCAGTGCAGTAAGGGGAAGCCGCAAGCCAGTTGAGGGGAGCTTCATCTCCTCCCCTGGGCTTGGTCTTTTTCCCCCCGAAGACGACTGCAGTGGTGGTTTAAAATGGCCACCCCGAAGAGGAGGACTCAGCTGGATTAAGATTTGTGCAGGAGGGAAGAAAGAGGTGGATAACATCTGAACCAGGACAACTGGGCAATAGAACTAAACAAAAGTACCCCGGGATTAAGGTAACATGGAATTTTTAAGAAAAGAAAAGTGAGCAGTGAAATTACAAAGGGACAGGAAAAAAAATAAGAAAATATTTTTGACAGATAAGCAGGGCTTCGAAGTGGGAAAGGAAGAAGCCGGAACTAAAGATTTAACTAAATTGGACTAAAATGTTTTGGGAATAAACAGGCATAAAATAAAGCTGGATTTAAGATTGTCAAAAAATAATAATAATAAAGTTTACAAATTGGAGACTGAACTGTGCTGGAATATTGAGATTCGAAAAACCCTAAATAAAAAAATAGGGGAAAAAGGTGAAGACTTTGTATAATGGAGAGTGCCACCTTTTGACAAAAACTTGAGCTCAAACAAAAGGGAATGCATCCTGTTTCTGAATGAACTTGTGTGGATATAACACTAAAGAAATATTGAAACAAAGTAAGAATCTTAGAAAGTGAAAGCAGAACCAGAATAAAGAAAAAAGCAAGGAAAGACTGACTGTGGGATTGATTGATGTTTTTGGTATAGACCCTGGGCTGGAACAATTGAGAACTTTAGAAAATTGAAAGAAGAAAGAAGGAAAGTAAACGTGTTTTTTTTTTTTGTGGACCTTAATGATCATAAAATATAAGAGTGTGTAAAGATGATATCTCTTCGGGAATTAAAAATGGAACTTAAAAATATGAGAGAATTACTACAGGAAAGAGGCGAATCACTTTGCTCTGTGTTAGAATAAATGGAAATGGCAATTGAAGAACAAGAAGAAACAGCTCAACTTAACTTGACTTAAATCTAATTGGACAGAAGCTCAAATGTTTATCCTACGAATCTTGTTTTCAAACAGGCAGTCCATGGTATTTCTTCTTTGCTGCACTTTTTCACTCGGATTAATAAACTTCTACTAGCCCGTTCTTTTAGTTTTACAACACAGCATGTCTCTTTAAGACTGGTTTGGGTTTTACAGCATTTATCTGAGGTAAGCCTATGTTAAAATTCTTTGTGTGGGATTTTCTGTTGGCTGAGACATTACTGGCAATGGTATCTAAGTGTTCATTTATTTGTCAATTGAAGATGAACTTGATAACACTTCTAGTCTTTTCCAGTGTACTGTTCTTAACATATGATCCTAGATTGGCTAGAATATTGGGGTTTAAAGGTCAATATATCTGGTTAGCATGCAATAGGAGAAGATCCATGTTACAAAAGGCTCCAAACTGGCGATTCATACTAATTTATTTTCATAGTTATTATTGAGAGCCTGTTTGATGCAGTGGTTAAAACATCAGGCTAGAAACTGGGAGTTCTTATCCTGTCTTAGGCACAAAGTGAGCTCGGTAACCTTGATCCAGTCACACTCTCTCAGCCCTAGGAAGGAGGCAAGGGCGAACCATTTCTGAAAATAGTGATAAGAAAACTGCAGAGACCTGTTCACCCAGTCAACAGGAGTCAAAAACTGACTTGAAAGCACAAAAAAAAACCCAGCCAAAAACACCATAGTTAATATCTGATGGTCATTTTATATGGAAGTATAAAAAACAGTTTCTGATGTAGCAGTACAGGATAGATCAATACAGGAAATCTTAATTATTTTATGAAAATAACAACAGCAGCAATAACATGCTGTGAGCATTGAGATAAAATGACTTTTACAGAATGTGGTCGGTGACAAAATACTTATTTTGTAAAAGATTCAACACAGTTCCCTTCCTCTCAGGATTATCATATAACTGCATGCTATATAAATATATACATCCATTGTCATAGCCAATTTACACTATACAGTGGTAATCTGTTATTCTCATCTAGCAGTTTTATTCAGTAGCTAGCAAAGGGTCTGTTGTCGTCGTCCTCCTCCTCTAACACAGTATGTTTTTGAAAGATATCTAAAAAAATTAGCTTTGGGATCAGCCATGATGCATGGAGTTGTACATTTCATAAAACCATCTGTTTCACCTTCTGAACACTTACGAAACACCAATTTCCACATTATGGTATAAAGAAAAGGGTTTCCTTTAAACGTCATAAGAGCCTAGAAGGCTGATGTAATTAATTATCCTACTTAAATCAACCTTCTGGATTGTTTAGGGTTTTGTATACTACTATCAAACCCTTAGATTTGACTGAATAGCAGACTGGCTGTCTAGAGCTATTGTAAGTGCACTGATATGGATGGATTACATTTTCCTTCCTGCAAAAAAAAAAATGCAATCTGTGTGTTCATTTGCAGGTAGAACAAGCTGCTAAAGATGACAATTGCTGTTTTGGAACAGTTGACACATGGTTACTTTATAAACTCACTAAAGGTGAGTACAGTGATTAAATGGGGGGAGGGGGAGATAACATACCCACATTTCACCCCTAAAATTGTGCAAGTGAATCTTATTCTGACATCCTTCACACAGCAGCACTTGTAAAATAGAATAGATCTATTGTCTGCAAATAAAAAATATTGTCTGTCTAACCAAAGTCGAAAATTCAAGAGACGTTGGCAGTGAAAAAGCAGTAACAAGTTTTGTCCAAATCTAATCCAGGATCAAAAACAGATAATACCAAAGTTTCAAAGGTACAGACAAAGGCAGAGCAAAGTTCAGGAATCTGGATAAACAAGGTGCATAATAGAAAAGGGAATTGCAAAATACATTATTCCTAGAATTTTTATCTCAAGACAGCAGAGAATTCTACTGGAACCCCATGTTTGCTAATTCATGCCTTTGTCCTAATAGTAATCCATTTAGAAAATATTCATGTTTCTCTGGAAGTGCCCTTTTTCACCATTTTATACCTTGTACCACAATTTGAAGGTACTGACATTCTCATAGACTTAAGGATTGTGAGATATTTGTGAGGTTAAGAATCAGAGTTGAGTGTTTTAATTCTATGGTCAGATCATATCTTTCAAACAATAGATGTTTCGTAGAATTGTGTTATCTGATTCTCAGTCCTCCGCTGACAAGGACATTGCAAAGAAACAGTAATAGCTACTAATGGAACTTTTTGCCCTACAGGTCTTTTCACTTGGAGGCAGGGAAAGTCTTCCACATGCACAATTTTACAGTCATGGTCCATGTGAGATTGGTTGCTTTTATACTTGTGCACTGTATAGAAGATCAGGTGCTCCAATAAAGGGAATGGTGACAATAGTGTTAATAGAACAACTTCAGTTCTATATTACAAGATAATTAAAATAACCTCTTGGAAGGAGGCAATCCTGGTTTTATAATTAAGAAATATGTGACTGATACATTATTCAGGAGATCAATCACCAAATTGTAATTTCCATGTTGTATTAGAATTGCTTTTTGTTTTATTTTTCAATATCTGATTGTATATTCTAGGTGCAGTGTATGCTACAGATTATTCAAATGCCAGTACCACTGCATTTTTTGATCCGTTTAAGGTATGACTAGTTCCTTCTCCCATGTTGTTATGGTTTGTCTTTGCATTGTTTTTATTTTTATTTTTAATATGCATGTGATTTCAGCTGCAGTGGAGTGACCTTTTTAGCAAGCTACTTTCCATTCCAATATCGCTTTTCCCTCCAATAGAGGACACTAGGTAAGTTTTATTTAACATATTTTTTACTTTTTCCAAATGAAGGCATAAATGTCAAAGGAATTATCTATGTACTGTTAATGCTCTCATGTCTGTAACTTTTAGGGCAAAATCTTTTTCAACCAAGGTACCTCAAATAGGCTAGCTTACAGAATGCTGGGACCTGGGACTCCTAAAATTTGGGGAAGTTTTGCCTGCTTCATTGTCACCATAGCATTGCTATGATCAGCCCAGTTACGTGATCCTCAATTTCAAAGTTCCCTGACAGCTTTCCACAATTCTGTTGTAGCGACAATCCCTTTGCACTTGCACCATGCTCCCTCTCTTCCCTGTGCAATACCTGTTATCTACCTGCTGGGAAGGAAAGGAGGGAGGGAAGGAAGATTTCTGATGCTAGATGCCATCTTTCCGCAAGGAAACTCAGTGGAGAAGCCAGAAAAAAATTGGATATCGCTTCCACTCCACTGATTGTTTGGCCCACCCATGGTCTTTCTGTTTCTCTGTTTAGATAAAGAAATATTTCTGAAATGGTAACACAATGGGTCATGAGTTATATAGTTGAAATGTAAATATGAAATAGTTGAAATATAAATATGAAACACCAAAGTTCTGTTTAGAATAGATATGACCATTTTTCTCTATTTAGTTAGTTCATTTACTGTAAATGTATTGAATAAGTTGGAAGCACTAACTTCATTTATCTTTATTTTAAGCCACATTTTTGGATTAGTTGATACTGAAATATTTGGAGTACCTATTGCAATAGCAGCTTTGGTAAATATAGAACCTTTTTTCTCTTTGACTTGGATATATTTAAATTCAGTTGGTGTTTAGTAAAACTTACTCATCCTTAAATTTCTAGAAGAAAGATTCAAAGTAAAAGCTAAATCTGAGCTTAATCTACTCTTGAAGATTCAAATTAACTTATTTGAAACCTTTTGCATTCAATTAATTCTGTTCTTAAATGTCAGGATAAGCTGATTGGAAGAAAGGGAGTGGAAGAATCAGTACGCACAAATGGATTTGTACAATAACTGCATTTAGATTTGTAAATCTCATTTTATTGTCAAGATAATGCTATTTAATCCTCCTTAAAAACTAAGCAGTCCAGTTTTGAAATCTTCTATTTCAGTGAATTAACTATTAATGAGAAGCTCTTTTTAAAGAACTTAAAATTGCACAATATTATGTTCTAAATATTTATACCTCTTGGATGCTTTGAGAGCCAAATTTAAGCCTGAATATGATTCACATATATTATTTGGGCAAGATTTATCTAGGGCCATAATTCGTTTAATAATAATTATATTCAATACATCTGGCATACCTTTTTTATGCTCTCAGACTGGAACCTAGCCAGAACGTAATCCTGACATTACATCATAATACAATGGTAGTGCTCAACTTATGAACCCCTAAAAATGATTTAGGACCCAGTTTTAAAGTTCTGACATCTGAGCAACATACACAGGCACACTGCAGTCATGTGACTGCATTTTGGACATTTGTCAACCAGCCTACATTTATGGCCATTTGTAGTACCCTGTGGTCACTTGACTGATTTACAATGTTTTTCCCCAGAAACTTATTTATTTCAGATTTTGATCAAAAACTGCCCTAGCAAACAACCATGGTATTTGCTTTACAACTGATATGTTTGCTTAACAGCTGCCATAAAAATGGTTGTAACATCAGATATGGTCAACTGATGACCTGCTTTAGGATCATCATGACTTACAACTGAAATTGTGGAGTCAATTGCAAGGACTACCTCTAAATATTTCTCAAACTATTTTTGACTTGTTTATCATCTCTATGTCAAGTTTAATATGTCAGGGAGATGGGTAAGAGAACCAACTGTAACCTTTTATAAATTAAAAAATGAGTATAAGCTATGTAATACTACTGATTATGGTTTTGTCAACTATTTCTTCCTTTTTCTGTTTGTATCTAAAATGTAACATAGATGAACAAGTACTGTTTTCTTAGCAAAGTTCCTTAAGTTGTGCGTGAAGAGAGAAATAAATAGCATTGCTATTGATGTACTCCTAGTCCCTAAATTGTTTTAAAATGAATAGAAAAGAGTATAGTAATCAAGCCTAACTGTCATGTTTTTGTAAATACATTCAATATCTTTTCCTCCCACACATAATACTTTATTTTACAAAATGTATAATAATAATAATATCCTTGTTAGAATTCCAGCTCAGATAATAAAATGCCTCTTTGTTCCCTGAGTCTGGTAAACTTTGTCCCATAATACAATGGATTGGAAGAAGCTGTTGTCTCTATCCTCTCCTGTCTCAATGGCCCTAACCCATCTGCAGCAGCCAGCTGGATTTAATTATTCTTCCAATTTGCCCCACAATGCGCCAGAGGCTATGCTAGGATAAGGACTTTGTGAGAAACTAAAACATAGCTGGATGTAGTTTACTAAGAATGTATGGAAAATTGGAAATGAAATATGAAGTATATATAACCCAGAGCCAGCATCTGTAAGACGTTCTGCCAGTATTATCACTTTGATGGCTGTACAATGTGGAATCAAAATGCAGGACCCAAAGAAAATAATCGAGACATGCTGCAGTATTTATTTTTTTAACAGTGTACATTGGAGGAACCTCCTCCAAAGAATATTGAGAGAGATTCCTACAGACAAAGGATGTACTCATACATTTCAGGAAGGAGAAATGTACATACATACATACATACATATGCATAAATAATAGGTGATGTAAGCATACATATTCACATATTTTTAGAAAAAGAAACATCGCAGTTATTTCCTGCGCTTCTATTGTTACTATCTTCAAGAAAGAATCATTGTTTTAGAAAAAGAAACATGTCATTAGATTGCCATAGAATTTTTTTTGATAAAACTTATTGTTAGCTAGACATCCGAGGCCACCTCTCTGTGTGTCTATTTGATTAATACACATTCCTTCTTTGTTTCTTTTTATGTTTCTAATTTGCTGTCACACTCGTATTTTTCTAATAATTTATCTTCTTCACAACAGTGATACCAAATTCTGATGCTACCTTAAATAATTTTTTTAAAAACAAACATGGATAGACAGATAAGCAGACAGTAACCTATTAACGTTATTTATCTGAATAATGAAATAGAAAAGTACATGTCTTCTTTCCATTTTATTGCTTTTCTTATTTTTTAAGCTTGACACATTAGCTATTCAATACAGTAAAGTTATAATGCACTTCTCAATGTTCAAATGTTTGATTTCTAGAGTAGCTGTTGATACCTCGCTGTCTGATTTTTATTTGTAGGCAGCAGACCAGCAGGCAGCCATGTTCGGACAGTGCTGTTTTGATACAGGTGACATAAAACTCACCATGGGAACTGGTACCTTTTGGGATATTAATACTGGAAACAACATTCATGTATCTAAGAAAGGTGTGTTTGTATGTTTCTGGTTGGCAAGAACAATTGTGGACACAGCAAAGTTTTTTTTGTGTGAAATAAAAATATTTAAATTCAATGCTTTATGTAATAAATTATATGTTAATTTAAATTTAATTTTACATTTATTTTAATTTTATACAATTTTATTAGAATTAAAATGGTTAATATAATTAAGTCTATTAATTATTTATCAATTAGTAATCAAAAATGTATTTTAGTCATAGGACATAGATAACTAAAGTTTTAGAAAAGGAAATCATTTCTGAAAAACTCCATTCCCAACTACATATTTTCTCAGGTTCCCCTACCACCACCACCACCATTATTTATGCTAGTAAAAATAAATCTCAAAATATAATTCTAATAATTCCTAGAAGTACTTTTTTGTTCCAACTGATACAGGTTAAGTGCATTTATAGCTTTCACTTGGTCATAAGAAGGAAAAAAGCAACAACAAAGTAAGAAATACTTCTTTATGGAAAAGACTGGATGTAGAAGTTTCAATTCATCCTGGAGTATAAACATTATAAAAATTTTATAAAAATGTTATTTGAATAAGCTTCACCAAAGAGTTCTATGTTTAGGAGACCTCATATAAATGTGTTCCCACATTATTCAAACAGTGGAAGAGCATATAACAATGAAAAAAATAGATTTGATTGTAGCTTATTGCTATGCTATGCAATAAATCACTAGTTTCCCTATTAATATAACCAACAGATAATTCTTGACTTATGACCAGTTGCTTAACTATTGTTTAAAGTTACAACTTACCCAAAAAGGGGGACTTAGGATCTGGATTCGAAGTTCTAACAGTTGGGCCCCCTCAGAAGTCATGTGACCAAACTTTAGGTGCTTGGCAACATAGCTGCATTTATGGCCATTTACTGTGTCCTGTGGTCATGCGACTGCCATTTACAATATGTTTTACAAAATACGTTCAATTTTTGACAAAACTGCCACATTTGCTTTATGATTGCCACAAAAAAGGACATAAAATTGAAGTGTGGAAGAAGGGAAGAACTCCTTAAATATTCTTCTATCCCTTGTACGGAGTCTTAATTCTCTGGTTATATTTCCAGAGGTTGTAGGGGAATTTGGTGAACATTAGCATGTCTTCCATTGTTGAAGGTTTTGCACTGAATCCTTTTCTAATGAATATAACGGGTCTATTGTGGCATAATATTGAAAATTTATGTTTTGTTATTTCAAGGCTTGTATCCATTGGTTGGTTGGAAAATTGGGAATGAGATCACCTACTTAGCTGAAGGCAATGCTTCTGATACTGGAAATGCTATCAAATGGATTCAGGGCTTAGGTGAGTTTAAGTATTGAAGTTGAATTATTTAAGCCTATGAATGATAAAGTAAAAAACATTGCATCTAAATATGTTACTGGTTTTTATGTGAATGGATAAGGAAAACTGTCTTTTTTCCTTTGAATAATTCTGAAGATGTAAATTATATCAGTTCTTTTTTACTTTATTATCTAATGCCAAATGAAATACCAGATAAAAGAAATATAAATGCAGTATTTAAAAGCTTGCATTTTATATTTTAAAACCACATGACGTGAAAAGTAAATTTATGCTATTGGTAATATTGCCTGTATGCTAGAAGAAATATATTTTTAGATTTAAAAACTCTCTGACCCCAAAAGATGTGTACTTTTATCACCAAGCAGTAAAAGATTTGCAAGATTTTACCATGGCATTTGCATCTATATTGCATTTCAAGTGGTAGATTGCATGCTTAGGAATAATGTCTTCCACAGTATCAGACATTCTGCATTGAAAGAAGTTCGTATCTAGCTCTATGCTACTTATATATAAATGCAATACTAATTTGTTATGCCATAACTGTCCAACTATTCCATTTCCTCTGGCACAAACATAAGAAGTATGCTTTTCTGCTGTTCTTCCTTATTTCCATTTGTTCATTCAACTACTCCTGATGAATATGCAAACAATGCCAATAGCGAGAAGATAGAATAGCATTTAACAGTTTCCTTCCTCAGGACAGTAAGAAAAAACACATCACTCACTTTTTTTGAGAAACGGAAAGAGCCGTTTAAATTACTTTATTATAAAGAGGTGCCCAACACTTGAAATGCTAGAATATTTTCCAATACAGGTAGTCCTCAATCTTATCATCACAATTGAGCCCAAAATTTCCATTGCTAAGCAAGACAGTTGGTAAGTGAATTTTGCCCCTTTTTGCGACCTTTTTTTGCCACATTTGTAAAGTCACTGTAATTATTAAGTGAGTCATACGGTCATTAAGCAAATCTAGATTTTCCCACTGACTTTGCTTGTTGGAAGCTGGCTGGAAAGGTTACAAATGGTGATTACATGACTCCAGGACAGTGCAACTGTCATAAATACCTGCCAGTTGCAAAGTGCCCGAATTTTGACCATTGGGGATGCTGCAACGCTCATAAATGTGAAAAATAGTCATAAATTACTTTTTTTTAGTGCCCTTATAACTGAACGGTCACTAAATGGTTTTATGTCTAGGACTATGTGTACTGAAAAGATAACTGAGGTAATCATCATACCTAAAGAAGCAGAAAGGACATACATTTTCTTGGGGTTAATTGTATAGAATTTTGAGAGTTGTTGATACATATTAATTCATATTTTGTGTGCTTACACAGAACTTTTTGACAATGTTGAAGAGACATCACAAATGGCACATAGCCTAGTAAATTCGGGAGGAGTTTGTTTTGTTCCATCTTTTAGTGGTTTGCAGGTAAAAAATATTGTCTTTAGTTTATTTACCTCAGTGACTGTTTTTCTTTCAAGTATGAATTACAGATAGTCCTTGATTTACAACCATTCATTAGTGACTGTTTAAAGTTATGACAGCACTGAAAAAAGTGACTTATGATCAGTTTTGACACTTAGACCATTTCAGCATCCCCATGATCAAATCTTGGGTGTTTGGCAACTGGCATTTACTGGTATTTATGACAGTTGCAGTGTCCCTTGATCATGTGATCACCATTTGTAAACTTCCCAGCCAGCTTCCAACAAGCAAAGTCAGTGGAGAAAGCCAGATTCATTTAACAACTGCATGAGTCATTTAAGAAGTGCTTAAAAATTGTGGCAAAAAAGTTAGCAAAATGAGGCTGAACTCACTTAACAACTGCCTTGTTTAGCAATGGAAATTTTGTGCTCAGTTGTGATTGTACATCAAGGACTAGTTGTATATACTTTATTCAACTTTCAGTATGTTCTACAATAAGTGATTTTCAAGGTAAATAAAATTACATTCTGAATTATCGTTGCTTATAGATTGCTTACTGCTCTTTCAATTTTCTTCTTACTATGCTGCCTCTTATTGTCACCTGTAAGTTATTCTTTCCCTAATATTTCAGTCCTTTCTTGAACAATTGTCTTTAGAACATATCCCTGCATATTTTGTTTTAATATCTCTTTCATTTCAGATACCTGTGAATGATCCTTACGCATGTACTTCTTTTATGGGGATCACACCTACTACTACCAAAAAACATCTTGTTCGAGCTGTGTTGGAATCCATCGCTTTCAGGTACATGGATGTGCCCTCTCAACATCGTTGGCCCTGTTCTCAGTATGCCCTCCTTGTTCCATTTGTGTATATAGGCAACAGTAGCTGCATATCAGCAGTCATTACAACCAATCACATTTAGTTTCTGTTTTGTTCAGAACACATAGTTTTTCAAAAAATTACCAAGATAAATGTACAATGTATCAGTTTCCATTGTAATACCTCTGTACTGTTGGATTTCTTCTTGGAATAAACTTGTTCATGTCAAGGGAAGGCAACTCTGCTCCCTTAAAATACAAACACATCCATATAAGAAAATGAATCCCTATCATTATATCCCAGGGCTTACAAGCTATACAAGCTCAAACCCTTGTTCATTCCAATGACTTTTTTTGACAGTTGCTTTTTATGCACATTTCTTTCCAGTATCCTGTATTTTCTCCTCATGTTCAAATCCGCTTCTCCATTTGTATTTCATTTTTGGCTCTCTACAAGATTTAAAACAATAGATTAGATAGATGGGATTTATTTTGCTTTGTTCCTTGCTGATTAAATTTTAAATTCAACTTGAGTAACAAAAATGTATACTATGGCTTTACATTATTTATATTACCTTTTGTTGGCAAATGAGAAAATGCATGATCACTGCTATCAGTTAGGAGATGCAAAAATGCTTAAATATTTTATTACTGAGAAAGCTACTTTATATTAAATATAGCCATCTTAATTATCACCTCTGCCTTTGTCATATAAAGCATAAGACAAAAAACTGAATTCATATATTCTAACTTGGAAAAGTGGTTATCTGATAAAATGACTGTGGATAGACTAGGAATATATTGTTATTAGTTTTTAGACTTTTGTACTAATAGCTCTATATTAGGATCATTGGAATTCTCATTATTTTTTCTGTCTTTAAAATGATACAAAACAATTTAATTAACCTGTTGACCCTTAGTATCTATCCTGCTTATGATTTATTTTCTGGGGTTTTGTTGAATACCTGATGTATACTGCTTTAATCTTATGGGCAAAAAAATCCTAAAATGTTATAAAAGAAAAAAAACTATAGCTCAATAGCTTAATAAAAACTATAGCTTAATAAACTAGAGCTCTTAGTTTATTAAGCAGTCTAATTTATTTTATTGTAGTTAATTTTAACTCCGTTATAAACATGTTTAAACGTCTAGCTAATTTTGATTGATTGTTGTTCCTTATGACACTTTATGCTTCTAATGTAATTGTTACTTGGTATATCACAACTTTATTGAATTTCTCCCTCTCCATCTATTTTTTCAAGAAACAAACAGCTGTACGATACCATTACAACAGAGTTGAGCATTCCAGCTATGTCCATTCGGTATGTTTATATTGTATCCAAAATATTGAACATGAATATGAACATTTAATATGAATTTATATGTTAAATAAGTTTTGTGCATGAACTTTAGGGCCCAATAGTTAAGTTAGAGCCAGTGTAATTTTGTTTTGGAGCCATTTCTTGCTGTAAGCTCCTGATCAAAAGATTTCTAGCAGCCTGTAGAATTATTTATTTATAGAGTTATTGTTAGTCTCTTAATAGCATTTGTGTACAGTTGTCAAATCACTTGTCAAATCACTTTTTTCTATTTTATTTTTTGGAAATATAAGATTTGCTTGGTAATCTTGTAGGTACAAACTATGAAATAGAAAGTAGTTAACGTTACTTTTAAGAATGGTACATTTTATCAGCATAAAGTACACATTAGAACACAGGGGTGTCAAATTCAATTTCATCAAGGACCGCATCAGGTTTGTATTTGAACTTGGGGTTCCGGGGTGGCCAGGGTGAGTCTGGCCAGCTTGTCACTTAGGTTGGGTGGTGGCCAAAGTGCTTTTCCAGAAAAAAATGGGCTCCTGTGTGCTGCTGTGGCCCTTGTGAGCTCCACTTTCAGCTGCAATGGCCTCCTGCCACCCTTTGCCAGCAAAAATAGAGCTTGGGAGGAGCATGCACAGCCTTCCCGAGCTGTGACAGTGACAGAGGCACTGTGGGCTGGTCCTTCACTGTTTATAGGATGGCCCCGCATACCAGATCTAAGCACCCCCTGGGCCAGATCCGGGCCCCGGGCCTTGAATTTGACACCCTTGTATTACATTCATGGCTTACATTAAGCATTTCTACATATTACAACATGCATCATATTTGCTTCCATGTCACTTAGCTATCCTTTTTTCAACTAGATTGAGTTAGACACTCTTCAAAGCATTGCCATGTTGCCATGTTACACATAGCAACATTATATGTTTGCAGTATTCTAAGACTGTAAGTACAAGAATGCTGTATCTCTTGACAGAGAGATGCCTTTTGATATGCTGATAAATCCAACCAATAGTAATGCTGACTTCAGTATCACTGTCAACCTGGAAATTTCAGAAAGAATATTATCCTGTCAAAACCATGTTGAATATTCCTGCACTGGTCGATTGAATTACTTAATTTTCTACTTAATTTTCAGAAAACTTGTGAATTTTATCATAACTGGATCTTATACAGTTATTAAAAGTTCCAAATCAGGTTCTTCAGTACTAAACATTTTCCAAACATGGAAAATCTCAGTCTCTTCATAATTACACTCAGTTTTATTTAGAATTTTAAAAAACCTAATAAGCAATACCATTAGTTACTTATATCATAGTAGTATATATATTTGTGTGTGTGTGTGTGTGTTTGTGGATCTTTGGTTATTCAGGTTTTCTCCCGCGTAAAATTGGAAGTATCTAGGCGACATTTCGATGAAGTCTCATTCATCATCTTCAGGCTTGTGTCTTCGGCTTTGTGCTTCTCGGAGTAATGTGAGATTGCAGCTGCTTCTTCCTTTTAACTGCTAGTGGGGGTGTGACTTGATGGGGTGGGGGCTTAGCTGTGTTCTGATTGGGTGGGGGTGTGTTCTCATTGGTTGGGGGTTTGGCTGTGTCCTGATTGGTAGAGGGGTTGACTGTTCTGATTGGCTGGGGAGGTGTTCTGTTCAGGTGGGGGCTTGTTTGTGCTCAGGTTAGTCTTAGTTGCTGGGGGATTTGAGCTGGTGAGCTGTGATCCTGTTGTTTGGCTTCGCATTTGTGGTCATGCCACATCTTCATGGTGGGCGTCAGTTCACTTCATGTATGGGTTGGAGGGGTTTGAAGCGGGTAGTGATGCAGCTGCGGTACGGCTTCTGGTCCGTGGTCGTGTCTCATCTTCTGTGTGGGTGTGAGTCTGCTTTCTACGTGGAAGTGTGGTGGTAGCATCTTGTGTGGCCCTCGTGGGTGTGGGTCTGGTGTCATTCTTCATGTTAGATACTCGTTTGTTAATGAGGGCGGGTTTCCAAATGGCTGGTAGGCGGGAGGTATCATCTCGTTTATTCATGCTCTGTGGGCGTTTTTCTATCTGTATGGCTTCTCTGATTATTCTGTTGTTGAAGTGTTTGGTTTTGGCGATAGTTCCAGTATTTTTAAAGTCAATCTCATGTCCTCTGGCTTTAAGGTGCTGGACCAGGGAAGAGGTCGGTTCTTCTTTTTTGATTGAGTTCTTGTGTTCTTCAATGCGTGCACTTATTCTTCTGTTAGTTTGTCCGATGTATGTGGTGGGACAGGCTGTGCAAGGGATTTCGTATACTCCTTGGTTTTCTAACTCAATTTTGTCTTTAGGATTTCTTAGGATGGTGGATATTTTTCTGTTTGTGTAGAATGCTGTCTTAATGTTGTGTTTTTGGAGGATCTTGCTGATTTTGTCTGTAGTGCCTTTTATATATGGGAGGAGGGATTTGCCGTTCTCTTGTTCTCTGTCTTGGATTTTGGTTGCCTAGATACTTCCAATTTTACACGGGAGAAAACCTGAATAACCAAAGATCCACATACAAATACCCGCGAAAACCTCAGAAAACATTATACACACACACACACACACACACACACACACACACACACATATATATGTTTTGAATATTGAATATTTTATTTTATTTTCTCTCTCTCCCAACTCTATAGAGCTGACGGAGGCGTCAGTAAAAATAGTTTTGTGATGCAGATAACTTCGGATTTAATCAATAAATCAATAAACAAGCCTGACAGTACAGACATGTCTTGTCTTGGAGCAGCTTTTCTAGCAGGCCTTGCTATTGGTATGTTTTATTCTGAATACCTGGGGAAATCTGTTTCAAGAGAAATGGTCATTTATATCTTGTTATACAAAACAGGCAAATAATAATGATATTTTTTCAAGAGTATGCTATATAGTTTTTGTTATAGTCCATCAAGTCAGCCCTGATAGGTGGGGCAGGGGGTGATGGTGCCTGCAGAGTCCCTAAAGTCACTCATAAGGATGAATGACCACAGGGCCATAATTTCAGAACTGGGTCATAAGTCGCTTTTGGAGGGCGTCAGCAAAAACTTGGAGTGGTTGCTTAGGAACTGGTGATAAGTTGAGGATTACCTCTATCAATTCACAAATTATTGTAGTTACATAGTCAGATTTCTCTGAAGCAGCCAAGGAAACCTATGTAGTGACTTTGCTTTTCAAAAATTAATTTGCAATCATTTAAACCAAGGTAGAACAGAAGCTACAGTAGTACATCTCTTACTGTTGACTATACTATTCATCTGTTTGTTTGTTTCTTTGTTTGTTTGTTTAAAAATACTTACGTAGCTGCCTGTATTGTAGCAGAACACTGGGGAGTGCCCAAAACATTAAATCAACAGAAAGCTCCAACCATAATCAATTATAAGTCTATTAAAAAATATCATCTCACTTATGGCAACACTTTCCTGTATATCCTAGAACCATAATTCTGCTGAAAAATCTATATGTTATTATTTAATAGATTTATTCTGCAAGTTAATTCTGTAATATGAAAGATATTCCAAATATTCCAAACATTGTGTTGTTGATATTCTTCAGACAAGATTTATACAAGATTTATACATTTATACACAAGATCTATACATGTTTTAATACAGGAATCATGGTCAACATGAGAATGACTGTTTTATATCTTTTTGGTTGTTTTTTTTTAGGATATTGGACTGACAAAGAACAACTGAAGACATTCAGGCAAACTGACATAGTTTTTAAGCCACAAAGAGAGCCAAAGGAGTATGAACCTGCCATGAGTAACTGGATAAAAGCTGTCTATCGTTCTCTCTCTTGGTATAGCCAGGCATCTCAGTAATTAATAGTATTTACATGTTGGACAATATACCTCACTACTTTATTTCTGCTTTAGACTTAAGCAGTTATTTTTCTCGGACAATATTCAAGCAATACAAAAAGTCTCCTGGAATAGTAGTGAATCCCAGGTAGTAGTCAAGAGACTAAATGTCTCTTGTGAGTGTTGTGTTCTCAGCGACGATAATTTATAATATTTGATTTTATTCATGAGATCAATATATATATATATAGGGAATGTTCAGATACCAACCTAGGAGATTTCATATGGAAAAATCTAGATTAAGATTGTATCAAAAAATTATTTCCCAATAGACAGGAGCATACCACATACCGTATATACTCGAGTATAAGCCGACCCAAATATAAGCCGAGGCACCTAATTTTATCACAAAAAACTGGGAAAACTTATTGACTCGAGTATAAGCCTAGGGTGGGAAATGCAGCAGCTACTGGTAAATTTCAAAAATAAAAATAGATACCTCTATGAAAAATAGATACTTCTATGAAATATAACTAAAAAGGCATGTTGCTTTCAGTAGTGTCAAGATGGCATGAATTAACATGGCATACTCAATTGCAAGTTAACTTCATTCACTCTTGGCATTAAAAAATGCCACCGGGAGGGAATTATTATCTAATTAAAACTTTCACTAGGGCAGTTGAGAATAAGTTTGATGTTCACAATTTCCTCTTTGAAAGAGACCAGTAAATAGGGAACAAGAAGATGAAGAAAAAGAAGTGTGTTTTTTCAGACTTTTCACACTGCAGTGAACAAAAATGGCATCATAGGAACAGGCTTATTCTCAGTCCAAAGGTTTGTTTCTGATTTCTTCCCTGATTTAAGGGAAATTTGGGGAACGATCTCACTATCATGAAAGGTTTAATTGATTCACTAACCCAAAAGAAGAAGATGATGATGACAGTGGGAGGCAGGAGTCACTCTCTCCCTTGCAAGAAAAAAGCAAGAGCTGTTCTTATGATCTCTCTCTCTCTCTCTCTCTCCGGAATACAGTCAAGCCCTTTCCAGCACGCGCGATCCGCCGCTGCCGCTTTGCACCTTGCAAATGCAAAATCCCAGGGAGGGCGATTCTGGGCTGCGCGATTGGGGGACTTCGTGGCTTTGGGTGGGTGGGTGGGAGCGAGGACGGACGGATTCCACAAAGTGGGGCTTGCCTGCCCTTGCTGGCTGCCTCTACTTCCTTAGGGGCAGGGAAGGGGGCTCATCTGGACTAAGGGTGAGTCTCCCCCTCAGTTTTCCCTGAAGGATCTTCCGTCGCTTTTGCCTTCTCCCTACGTCTTCCCTCTGTTAAAATCCCCCCCACACACACACACACTTATTTTCGGGCAGGTAGATTTCGTGTCTGAGCATTCTCACATGACGGTAGGTCTTTTTTCCCCCCCTAAAAACAGTTTTAAAAAAAGGAAAAAGAATATATCCTCATGCAAGAACTTTTCTGCTTCCGATTACCCCCATGCTTACAAGTTGCAAAGGAAACAGGGAAGCAGGGAAGCGGCTGCCCAGCTCCGGAGCTCCACACCATTTTTTTTTTCAGAAGGGAATCTCACTCGAATATAAACCAAGGGGTTGTTTTTTTTCAACAAAAAATGTGCTGAAAAACTCGGCTTATACTCGAGTATATACGGTACTTCTGTTTTCTACTATAAATCGTCTCCTTTTGGTAGAAATATATTTATTGGTATTATCTCCTCCTACTCCATCCCCAAAAGACAAAGATGCATCCATACAGATAAATTGGTTCTAAGATTGGAAACTGACTGTCTAGACTAGAGAGAAAAATAGTAAAAGCTTTTTGTTAATTTTAAGATGTCTTCTTTACAGTAAAAACTAGTAAGTTAAAAGTGAAACATGATGTCAAAAACAACTACTTGCCAAATGATGTTTCAAACATTAGAATACAAAGACCACTAAATTATTATGTGAATTGACTCACCCTTGCAATTATGGCATTAATTTATTATAATTTTAAAAATGGTAAAATCTGAACTTTCTAAATTGCTTAATTGGAAATTGGTCACCTGCCTTCTATCTATGTGAAGAATTTAGGATTTGCTGATAGGACCAGCATAGTCAATATTGTCCAGTAAACTTTGATATTCTTGATATTCTGATCTAAGAGATAGGGAAAAATCTTGGTATATATACCTTTTAAAAGTTAAGTTTTTAGAATCTTAACTTTAAATTTAAACAGAAATGAAAGAAGCTTCTCTTGCATGTGTTTATTCAAATATTTGATGTTTAAAAGTAAAAATAGATGCGTTTTTTTACTCATTATAAACCCAAAGCAGATCTCATTGTTACTTTTCCTGCACTATACATTTCAGTACCTGATACTTCAGAACTTAAAAATTTTATAGCAATCACTATCTCTATGCAGTATATAAAATATTGAAAGTAGAATATTTGGGAAATAATACATATCAACATATTGCTTTCTGTAGTAATTTCCAGATTGCTGTGGTTAGGCCACACATTGTTATGAGCCAGGATACATGTTTGGTCTTAATTTTGCACTAGTGCATTGACATTACATGTGAAAAAGATCACTATCATGTCTTTGGCCAATCTAGATTGGCTGATTGTCCTAGTTGAAAATAATGTCATATGCACAGTCTGAATTTTTATCAGATTTTAAGAAAAGTACATGAATTTGGTCACATTATTTTTGTTTGCATGGAACCCAGTTAAATTTCTGCAAAGTAATTGTAATTTTTATTTCTTAGAAATTATGCAGCACCTAAATTTTGTCACTAGGAAATTTCAATTTTAAATACTATATAAAGTAATTTTCAATGCATTATAAATACCTGCTGGCTGAGATTAAGTCCAGTGCTATGTTCTATACTTGCCTAAAAAGCCATCTTACACTAATTCAGATCTGTAATCAATTCAGCTCAGTACTCACTGGTAGAAGTTCAGAAGATTCCTAGTATTAAGAAATACTAGAAAATATAGAGTCTTCAACTTATGACCATAATTGGGACTGGCATTTCAGTTGCTAATATGGTTGTTTAGTGAGTCATCACGTGATCGGACCTAATTTTATTAATATTTTTACTGTAGTTGTTAAGCTGATCATGTCATTAAGCAAATCATGCAGTCATTCCCAATTCACTCTGGTGTTGGAAGTCGTCTTGTGACAGCAAGATGCCGCAACCATGATAAACAAGAGCCAGTTACCAAGTGCCCAAATTGCAATTATGTGATCTCAAGGTGGCACAAGCAGTTGTAATTTCAAATATGTGTTTTAACTCATTTTTCTCCCAAGGTAGTCATAACATCCAACCATCATTAGACAAAAGGTTATTAAAACAAGGATTACCTGTAAATTTGTAAACTTTATCTTGGTATTCAAAAAATACTCTGTAGTGAAGTGAAATTAATTTTTGTCTCAGAAATTTCTGAGCCATGTATATACTGGCTACCCAGTGACATATCTTTGGTCTGAAAGAGAGATAGAAGCTTTGCAGCAAGGCAATCCTTCATCTACGACCTATTTTGTGATGGATCAATATATTCATCAGAGATAAAGCAGAATTGAACAGAAGGATAACACAAAGGAGAAAATGAAGTTAAGTGAGTTAAAGATTTGTAGGCAAGTCTCAAAAAAAATTGCACTAGTTTTGTTTCAAGTAGTAATATTGAATTGCAATTAAGTGAAAATCACTGTGTGATTTGAATCGGTTGAATTGGCTTCAACCGGGTCCTGCCAACATTTTGCTCCTAATAAATCCATTATAGGTTTTTAAGTTTTGCTCGAGGTTCATGATTTAATTAGGGCAACTGCCAGAATCCTGACACACTGGCATTTATTTTTTTAGGCAGAAACTGCAAGATTCTGATTTATGGTGCTATATATCATAATAGCAAAGGCATAAGTGCTAGAAGAAGGAATGGGAGCAACTGGGAGCTTTCTTTTAAATTCTGCATGTTGGTGCTTTCTCTATTTCTTGAGCCAGAACATAATTAGGATAGTGAATTATATATATTTCATCTGCATTTTATATATTACCGATTATAGTAAATAGATTATGTGAATTATAGGACTGATCTATGTCTAGTCACAAGAGCTGGAAAGGTTTAAAGACACCCCCACACACACACACACACCCAAAATATGCCAGTCCTCTTGTAGAATATTCATCACATGCTATTTAATTGAAAGAACTTTTTCTAAAAATATACATTTAATATATATTTTAATTCTATAATAAAATTAATTGTATTGTTCTGAATTAATGTACTGATTAATTTGAGCCACTATTTTGTTCAAGCAATCTCTACAATATATACTGTATAATATAACTGTATTTTGTGCTTATATTTTCATAATATATGATTTGTAAATTGAAACTAGCTGTTACAAAGTTCTAAATCAAAGCTGCTTTAATTTATACTGTGATCTATTACTTCAGATGTATATATTGAATACTCACTTGTAAATATAAGTTCCAGTCTCAAAATATTTTGAAACTATAAATATAACAGACTGATTCTTAATGTATTGAAGTATGACATTTAAGAGGAATCGTTGCTTATTAATAGTTTTATGCATTTGCAAATGTTATCCTATACTGTAAAAATGGTAACTCAGAAAGGAATTGGGTCGAAATGGAGACAAATCTGTTCTGCTTAATTACTTTGTGCTGAATTCTCGTTTTCTCCAATTTCATCAATAAGATATTTTTGTGTTTTCTTCTGACCTGGATCATCATCTTTAGTGACTCCATAATCCCCTGCGGGGTAGAGTCTGGGCAACTGAATAGAGATGAGTGCTTACCGCCCGGATGTTCTTCCTGTTGCCAATGCAGAGTTTCTTTCAGAAGATACATTCTCATTGTGCCCAGAGTAACATCTGCCACTACTTAGGATTGAACTCACAGCCTCCTGATTTGAGGCGGGAGCTCCATTTCTAGGCCACCATACCACTCATTTCTTCTGACTTGGATGCAGCTCAAGAATTCAATTCCACTGAATTTTGTGGATTTTATTCCCAAATAACATTATAGAATTGCTGCATAAAACTTTTATTGCAATAAAAAGTAATGTCTTTTTTAAGCTAAACCTTAGTTTCAAGTAATTAATGGATACAACTATATAATTTTCTAAGCAACAGTAGAGAAGTGGTTAACATTGCTTTCTTCTGGGCTATTTTCAATTTCTTAGATCATCAATGGACCTGGAATTTCTATGAAATTTCTCATCCAAATAGTAACCAGGCCCAATTCTGCTTAGCTTCCAATGCCACATCAATACATTCTGAGCCTGTCATATTTTCCTTGATGTTAGGTTAATAAAGTTGATTG